CCTCGCTCCCACGCCCCGGCCCCGCCGCCCGCGCCGGGGCGGCAGCCCGCAGAGGAAGGCGCTGCAGTCTCCGGGCCTCGCGGCCCCAGTCCAGCGTCTTCAGCTCCGAGGGCTCGCGGGTCCTGAGGGGAGGACAGCCCCAGGCCGGGCACTGAGCTCTTGGGCGCCTCCAACCCCGTTTTTGGAACCGTCCACGCTGCGGCCGCTGTCCCCTCCGGACCATGGCCGACGACGACGTGCTGTTCGAGGATGTGTACGAGCTGTGCGAGGTGATCGGCAAGTAAGTCTCCACGCGAGGGAGCGGGAGTGTGGAAAAATGCATTTCAGTGATGCCCTGGGCCTCCCGCACCCGCTCCGGGCCTGCCCCCTGCCCCCTGCCCGCCCTCTCCTCTGCCTCCCTCGTCCTCTTCACCCTGGAGTATTTATAGACGTGTACCTGGATCTCCTGCCAGGAGGGGGTCTGGGGGTTCTCAGCGATCCTTTGAAGCCAGAGAGCCGGGGTCGGCATCCCATAAGGTGTGGGGCGGACTGCCTGCATTTTATCTGACGGTTGCACAGGGACGTGGCAGGACCGATTTTCTACTTGCTTCCTGGGAACAGTTCGGGTTATTGTTACCTTGCCTGTACCACAGACCTTTTACGAAAAGAGCAGCCTACATTTCGTGTGCTTGTGTAGAGAGAGAGCGCGCGTCCGGGGTTTTTAATTGTGGGGTGTGTGTCTATTGTGCCAGGATATTAGACAGATGCCTTTGTGTTCACCCCGTGCCCGGATTGAAGAGGGTCATTGAAGACGGGTGCGTCCAGTTTCAGCAGATTCTTCACCCGGTGTAGACGAACGTAGAAAGAGTTAGGGGCACCCGAATTTTTAATGCCTCATTATGCAATGACTGTTCAATCAGTGTTGGAGGCTCCCTTCCACGGTTGTTGGGATGGTGGTTAGCGTGGTAGAGCCGTCTGCTTTGAGTCACCGGGCTGGTCTAGAATATAGAACTGACAGTCCAAATGCTCATCCTTTCATCTGGGTTGTATAATTTCACTAGGGAAAAGCAGGGAATCAGATTAATCACAGTACTGATTGAGAATTAAATCTGCAGTTCCTCATCTAATTGTCCAGTCCTGAAATCTGTTTTGAATTGTTTCCTTTTCATTCTTGTCAAACAATATTCCAAGTGCACAATCCTGCTAATTTGCTTGTGAGGGAAATGCTGGCAGTCTGAAGTTGCTTTCTTAGCTCAGCGTGTATTCTGTGGCATTGGAAGTTGAGATAAGATTTAAGAGCAATTTTCTCTGATTTAATAGGGCTTGTTAGATAGCTACTGTAGGGATATTTTACCTCTTTTTGGAAGCGGTGCTTTATTGTCTATTTTAAGGTCCACAGTTGGGAAATGAAACCAAGACAGAGCAGTTGGCTCTACCTCTTTTTAAGTTGTCTGCAGTATACTCCGTTTCAATTTTTTGAGTGCTGATGATAACTCATTTTTCTTCCATATTGAGGTATTACATTGTTGCTCACATGGTGAAATTGTGGGCAGAGCTTGCTACACTCTACTGAGACCCAGATGCTTAGAGGACATGTTACTCCTTGCCCCTATTGTTCAGTGGCCAGCGGGTCTGTTGGGAGGAGGTTGTCCAAATGTGTCTGTTAAAGTCGTTGTGGAAGTGCCCTCGAGCAGCGCTGTCCAAAAGCTGTGTAATGAGAGCCACATGCAATTTACAATTTTCTAGTAGCCTCCTTCAGAAGATTTAACACAAAAGGTGCAATTAATTCTGGTAAAATATTTATTTGATACAGTAGACCCAGATTTAATCATTTCAGCATGAAGATTATGGAGATACTGTGCATCTTTTCCTACCAAGTCATTGAGAGCCTATGTGTATTTTATACTAACAGCACATCTAAATTCTGATGTTAAGCTAAATTTTCACCAGAAGTGCTTGATCTGTATTTAGGTCTCATAAAATTTGCATGTGCAAAAGTAAATTCACATACCCAAGTTATCCCAAACACACATAAAAGTTTTCCAATAACTGGATTTACTATTTCTAAAATTTCAATTTAATTAAGCTTAAAAAATCCAAAATTCAGTCACTCAGTTGGACTATCCACATTTCAAAGGCTTAATTGCCACAGTTCTAGAAAGAAAACTACCCATATCTCCTTGGTTTCTTCATTGTTAGGAGCACACAGGGAAGGTAAATTAGATGTTTCCCAAAAGCTGCCCAAATGACCATGTGTGAGTGAGTGATGTTTGTTGCATCTTAGTTATAGCTGTTGTAAATGAGCCAGCAGTCATAGTTGGAAAAATGTGAGATTAAGATGTTAATTATGTTATGATGATGGAAAATAGCCATCATTGAATCAATTTGGTAACTAGTTCTGATTCTTTGAGATCTGAAAGGGTGACGGTGTGTGATCCCTTTGGATTTCAAAAAATGGTCAGCATCATGTTAGCAGTCTGTATTCTGCTGACTTAAAATTGGTAGAATATTTTCAGAAATTACCCTTGGTAGAATTAAATTTATCTGTTGTTTTGCAGCTGTATAAGGAGGGAGAGGCAAGCTAATTTTGAGATGCTAGGTATTGAGTGGCTGCCTTCACTACTGTGAACTGTGAAATCTCATTCACATCCTACAAAATCTGACTTGGTCAGTGTAATTTATAAAATGCCATTTCTTGAAATAATGAATCCAAGATATAGCCTTAGTGTTAAAGAATGCAATGATGATATTCCTCACCCTGTGTAAAGGTTGCAGGTTTCTCCGGTAAATTGTCTCAGTACATATTGATCTTGAAATTGAAATTCGTTTGAGATTTCTTGCAGGGACCTTGACAGCATAAATTTTAACTTAGAAATAGTTCAATTATGGGTTTAAACAGAAAGACCTTGCAGGTTATCATTTGTACTGAAGATCTTTTTGTTGATTTCTATCCAAACTCTATAAAATTTCAATTTTCTTTTGCATCAAATAAGTATCACAAATTGTTTTTCACCACAATGCCTTAATAGATTTAAATTTTCACCAAGGCTCTTTAAAAAAGATTTCATTTTTCAAGACTAATTGGCCACCCACTCACTCCCTTACCTACCCATCCATCCATCCGTCTACTCATGCATCCACTATGAGCTACACTTTATTTGGTGGTGTAAAGGAAAATTCTAGTTTAATTTAGACACCCTTAAGTGTGTTTTCCTTGGTTAAGAACATGACTTGAGGTAACTGGGAGGTACAAAAGTAGATCACTGTCTGGAATATATTTTCTTGTAGTTGTTGGCTGCCTTTACTTTTGTGAAAACTGTCTTTGAGAGAATCATATATTTTAATTATGAAGATTAGGAGGGTGCCATTTACTTTTAACAAAAACTAAAACTGTCTTCCCTCCTGGTTTTTTTTTCTCTAATTTTTGAAAGTCTTGCAGAAACTTTTGAATGGCTGCTGCTTCCATAGCATTTTCATGTAACATCTTCCAAGTTACTGAAATAAATGTTTAATCATACATAGTCCCTAAACTTCTTTTTTTTCAGACAGAGGAGTCTCACTATGTAGCCCAGGCTGGCCTTGAACTCATAGAAATCCACCTGCCTCTGCCACCTAAGCGCTGGGATTAAAGGCATACCACCACACCCAGCTAGCCCCCAAACTTCTTATCAAATGTAGCAGTTACTGGAAAGGAAAGGTATTGTGCAAATGTAAGTTAATGACTAATTTTTTTGTCTTTTTTTTTTGAGACAGGGTCTCCCTGTGGCCCCAGCTGGCCTGGAACTCACTATGTAGACCAGGCTGACCTTGAACTCACAGAGATCTGCCTGCCTCTGCCTCCGGAGTGCTGGGATAAAAGGTGTGCGCCACCACACCTGGCTAATGACTAATTTTTATGTCATGACTACTTACTGTAGCTTTTGCAGATTTATCATTTTACAGGTAAATGTATACTCAGTAATTGTACATGAAGAAAATTTTGAGATAATTCTTTCAAACTAAAACATAGAAAAACACCAATTTCCTGGAAGAACACTATCTGTGATAGAGAATCACAAAATGCACATCATTTTCACCTTTTGTAAGCTGAATATATGCCCTGATATTTAGGGTGCCCAAGTAACCTGTAACTTCTGCCTTTCCTGCTCTGTTAAGATGTATACTAAAATTGGAATGGTGTAAGCCTGACCCTTATTCAAGGATGACATGCAAGTTTTCGAGACTTGCTGTATTTGCTTACGCCCTGAGAACACTTATCATATTTAATTACAGTTACTTATTTATAGTCTCTCTACCTAGCTAATAGGGAGCTTCTTGAGGGCAGGGGAGTGTATCACACACACACATCTTTCTCCATTGCTGAACACACTGCCTGTAATGTAATAGTCACTCATTAGCTGTGGAATAAATTGAGTAGTTTTAATAAAATTTCATTAAAAGACAAAAAGCATGTTTATCAACCTTGGATCAATTATTGTCCCAAAAGACTGAATTAGTTTAAAGTAGTGGTGCTCTACCTGGCTATATATTAGAATTAGCAGGGGAGCTTTTAAAAGCAATCGATGCCAGGGTAGTGACAGAGCAATGAAGTCAGAATCTCTGGGATATGTTACAGGTATATTTTAAGCAAAATGAATCTCATGTGAAGCTGTGATTAGAGTCATTGTTTTAAAAGGTGATATATGTGGCATTCTGGGACTGGCTTTTCAGAGGATTACAGTTTTTACAAAGCAGAATAAATGTGTTTGGGAAGGCATTTAAGCTACCAGACCAAAACATGGGTTTTATCTTCTATGCACTTGTATTTTGAACTTGTTGGGTATGAATTTAGTTTCAGCCTGTGTTTGGCTTTGATTTCATAGGCCCTTTAAGATTCACATTGATTTATGACAGTCATCTAATGGTGATTGTCTGATGTTAGGAACAACACAGAACAAGGATTGCTTTAGTAACAGTTGATGGCTTTCCACTATAATGGCTTAATTTAATAAGAAGTTCATCAGTTTAGTATGGATTGCTTGCATATACACTTTATTAAAAGAAAATGATTATGTTACTTATATACTTTAAATTCCGTACAGTCACTTTACGAAAGAACTGAGTTAAATGCAGCCTTTATGTAAATATTGGATTAATAATATTTAAAAACTATAATTCAGCATAAAGAAGAATTCAGTTTTTTTTTTTAAATTTGTACTAAAGGTGCAAATAAAGGTACTTTTATAAGTACCTTGGGGGCTGGGAACTTTACATCATGCTGAAGTATCTTCCTGGAAATTTTAAGGCGACAGTGTAACTAAA